TTATGGTTATGACTAGTCTGAAAACAGACTTCCTCTATAATTAGAAATTTTGTTTATCTATAAGTAAATCCCATAGCTTGAATAAACATGAATTATTGAAGGTATGTAAATAAACAAGATGGCCTCCTAAATCCAGGTGACAATCTCAGCATGACTATTGAGGAAACATCCAGGTATTACGTTATCAACTGATGTGATAGAAGGTGGAATACACAACATCTCCTAGAATGTAGTCTAGCCAAAAGTATTTTACTTGAGTTCACCATTCTTTAGCTGTGACATCATGTCTACAGTAAACATAGGTGATGGAGAAATAAACTAAAGGATGCCATGAAGAAGCTAACAAACAGAGGTAAAATATTCTGTGGAAAAACAGGCCCTACTTCTAACAAAGACAAAAACAATAAGGGGATATGCTAGATATAACGAAACGTCAGCGTAGTCCTGGACTGAATACTGGTTTGGACAAAACAGGTATAAAGAACATTTCTTTGTTCAACACCACATAAATATAGTGTAGGTATTACATGACAATAAAATGTGCTGGAAGAGAAAGGTGAAGGTTGTTAATGGAAAAGAGCAAGTATATAGTAGACAACAGCATTTCATTTTAATAAAAAATTCATGTGCATATATAAATAAAAAGAAAAGTCCAGAAGGACGTGCATGCACTAACACATTATCACTGCTCATATCTGGTGGCACATAGGTGATGTTTACTTTCTAACTTTGTTAGCTTACGTTCCTAGTTTCCTATAATGGACATGTACCTCTTCTGTAACAAATATGTTTTTAAAAAAGACACCAAGATTAACAAGAGTAGCAGTTTGTGAACTTTGGAAAAAAGGCAATGGCAACTCATTTCAGATAAAAAATAAGTACCTTCATATTTCATTCTCTACTGATCTAGTTTGGTAAAGTACAAACGCAATTGTGGCAAAATGCAACTGCAAAAATGTGTTCCTTGATCATGAATGGTTTTAGATTAAGGAAAAAGAAGATTAGTAAAATAGTCTGCCACGAAACTGGTATTCAAAGACGTTTTGTCTTTCAGAATTATTAAAAGAAGTCATGGCATAGACAGTAAAACTGCTGCTCAAATTAACAAGTGCTGTGTACAGAGAGATTCTGCATTCAGAGTGCACTTACAGTTTGTCCCTTGGGAGAGCCTTCCTCAGTTAGTTTCTCAAACATCTCTTTAGCCACCTGGATATTCTGTGTCAGGTAATCACCGAACAAAAGGGCATACGACACTCTCTCCAGAGCTTTGGTATGGTTCATGCTGGCTGCCTTTTGAAGATATCGATATGCTCTTTAAATATAAGCAATTAAAAAAATTAGTAAAGTTTTGAAGCTGCCTTTAAGATTTTTCAAGATCTGCTAAAATGTAGCATAAATAATTTTCTTTTGTTACAGAATCCCTCTGATATCTTATTTTCACTAAGTCATGTTACTTACACATTTTAGAAAGCATCCTGGCTATTTTGTTTTTACATGAGGTACCAGTTCTCCTGACGGCTTGAAATAATCTAATAACACTAATAGTTATTCTAAAATCTTCTATGAAAAAAGATTAACTAGACTGCAATAATGTCCAGTTAATAATCCAATAATAACCATTGCAATTTTCTTTTCAAATCTTTACACAGATTGTATTGAAAGTCAGCTGAAATTACAAAAACATAAGATGTTAGAAGCCGACTGTTTGTTTTATGTTCTTTCTAAACTGCATTTGAAAATTACAAAATGAACAACACATCTTTGATTTCACTCATTGTTCACTCCTGTGAACAATCTATATTTATGACCTTTTTATCTTAAACTAAAATCTGATAAAAGCAATGGCACTAATACCCACAAATCATATTATATTTCCTTGTAATGAGATTGAGAAATCTTCTGTATCTCTGGCAGTACAGTTTAAAAAAGAGAAAGTAGTTGGCTACTTGCCTCAGTAATGACCTATCTTGGGGAAAGAACGGACTCAGCAATGCTACCTACTCTCTTTTTTGGCTTTTCTTATTGCTTCCATTGAGAATTTTCATTCCAGTCTGATACATCATTTCAGCTTCCTGCATCTGCCGTCTCTTAGCAGCCTCCTCTTCAGCTAGAAACAAATGTCAGATACATTTAAGTATATTTGTATATTTTAATTCTGTACCAATTATTTATTAAACATCAGTATTTATTCTTTCTTTGGGGCAGTTATATAAACACAGTGAATGATCTTTCACTATTTCCAAAGTAGACTAAAACCATTTGGTTTATGTTTGGCCTTTACCTGATACAAGATAAGACTTATTTTAGAAAAATACATAAAATTCCCTGAAGTTACTTTCTTTTAGAGAGCAATACCAAACAGCTCTTGGCACTTTTCTGTTAGTTACAATAATTTTTCTATACAATTCTACTAAAATTTCAGATTATACGCCAAGTTCAGCTAAAATAAGGAAAGAAGGACTTTAGAAAACAGTAGGCAGAAAAACACTGTTGTAGTTAAAAGATACTTTAGCCCTACAATCATTACTATAAATCTTTACAGGGAAAAGTATTTGATTACTTAATACAAATTAGTAAAAAAATGATTTTTTATCAAATAGATAACCTGACTTAATGTTCAAGTTCTCTAATTCTTTCATACTCACTGATTAAAACATCAAAAATCATACAATTATTACAGATTTCTCAAAAATTATTATGCTACTGTAAAACGGCATTTTTAGTAGAAATCCTAAACTTATCAAGGCATAGGCATATTTCATCAAAATATTTATAGAGATAGAAGTGAATTCTTCTCGTAATACAAAAAATAAATCTTTTGTATTAAACTGGTGTACTCAGTAATACTGGCCTACATCCAAAGATGCATTATATTTGTTATTATCTTATAGGAATGTCTAATATGCTATCAGGGCCATTATTTTGAAAATATTATTTGGTATTAAAGGGAATATATTCAAGATTTCCTTCTGTTCTTTCATAGCTAGAAACTTTTCCCTGAAAATATAGGTTGCTCATTGAGTTTAGCACCTTTTCATTGACATTTATACTTAAGATGGTTAAATATATTATATTTGTCAAATGTTACTTTAGGACAGTATATTTCACTCAAAGTATTTTAAAAATATATTATTTATTTTTCTTCCAATTACTATTAACCTTCACCTTAATGTTCCTTTATTCCCAAAAATGTTTTGTTACTTAATGTAGTAGACTGCCTGAACAGTTTACAAAACAACCTGTGTACACCAATGAAAACCACCTCTGAATAAAACATGACTGTGATTAGCCGCTTGAGTGACAGCTTGGAAATAAATATACCACATGCTTCCTGCTCTTAAGTTCACCCCTTAAGGCTATAACCATATCATCAATACTGGCCACTCCAATGTAGAAAAGGATGGCTAGAAAAAAGTCTCCCTCTATCCCCAGAAAGATGAAAAATAACAAAAATAAATAAAAAAAGATCAAAAAAGAAGATAATAAGATGTCCCAGTCATAAAGGAATGTGGATGTCGCCTACTGAGTAATACTTACTTTCACAAAAGCCCCACTTTTCATCAGCCTTGTAGTCATAGGTTGTAGCACACCACAGTCTGCCATCTTCTCTCCCGTCTGATGTACATTCATCGTATTCCTTATCCAGGAAAAGAAAAGGGAAGTGGCAGGGCTCCCCATGTGCTGTGCCTTCAATGGCAGTCAAAGCTAGAATGACAAGAAATAAAAACCTAAACATGAGCATGTCCTCTGGTATTCATGGATTCAGGGCTGTCAATTTCAGAATGTGAAGTCAAAGATGCATTATGCATGATTTATAATAAACGCCATAAAAGGGTCAGCGCTGACTTTGATTAGGAAGGACTTGATGTAAGTGAATTTAGTAAGCATGGCTCTCTGGGGCTACTCAGCATTTATACTAACTAGCTTAGACTTTCTGATGTTCTTGAGATATAACCTTAGAATATTAAAAGTCTACTGCAGGCTGGATGCAGTGGTACAATCCCAGCATTTTGGGTGGCCAAGGTGGGAGGATTACCTAAACCCAGTAGCTCGAATAGATCTTCCTCACTCCAGTCTGGGTGACAGAAGGAAAAAAAAAAAAACCCTCTTGCCCAACCAGTGAGCAGCAAAAAAATACAGCAAAATGCAACTGAATCAATTCTGCTTCTCAGCACAACTCTCTTGTTTTCTGGAAGTCATAAGCTAATTTTTTCAATAAAATAAATTTATACAGGGAACATGTTCCCCCAGGCAGAGTTAATCACTCATGTATTCCTCTGTGATCCTACAGTATTTTATTGGAATACTCATCACAGTTATTGAAGTTATTTTTTTACCATATTCTAGCTCCCACTAGACTTTGAGCTTGTGAAGTAGAGACCTTATCTTTAATTTATTCTATGAATTTTTTCTGACTATCTCTCAGGTGCTGGGAATTCTACCAGGTGCTGGCAATGGGGTTGGTCAGAGGTCTCTGCTATATAGAACTTACTGCCTAGCCAGGAAGAGAGAGATTAAGTAAAAGTGTGATTGATGGGCGTTAGGGAAAAGAAAGCCACTCCTGTCAAGGACAGAAGTTCCAAATGAACCTCAAGGATATGCAAGAGTAAGAGTGGATAGAAGGCTCTGGGGTGGGGTGGTATTGCAGACAAATGGAGCAGCATGTTAACAATCAAATGATAGGCTCAACGCCTGTGGCTCAAGGGGCTAAGGCACCAGCCACATACACCTGAGCTGGTGGGTTCAAATCCAGCCTGGGCCTGTCAAACAACAATGAAGCCTGCAACCAAAATAGTCAGGTGTTGTGGCAGGCACCTGTAGTCCCAGCTACTTGGGAGGCAGAGGCAGGAGACTCGCTTGAGCCCAGGAGTTAGAGGTTGCTGTGAGCTGTGATGCCACGGCACTCTACCCAGGGGGACAGCTTGAGGCTCTGTTCTGGAAAAAAAAAAAAAGAATCAAATGATAGGGGCAGTGCCTGTGGCTCAAAGGAGTAGGGCGCTGGCCCCATATGCTGGAGGTGGCAGGTTCAAACCCAACCATGGCCAAAAACTGCAAAAAAAAAAAAAAAAAAGAATCAAATGAGTATCAAAGTGAACAAGAGAAGAGGCAAACGAAGCCAGATTTGGGAGATCTTTACAAGTATTAATGAGGAGTCTGGACTTTTATCTTGAGAAAAACAGAAAACTCACTGTAGAGTTTTAAGGAGGAGTGATGTGCTCATACTTAATGTTTCATTAAGAGAGTAGAGAATGGAGGGAAGTAAGGCTCAATCCAAGGTGACCAATTTGCTTATTTATTTATTTTTATTTTTTTTGAGACAGAGTCTGAAGCTGTCGCCCTGGGTAGAGTGCTGTAGAGTCATAGCTCACAGCAACCTCAAACTCTTGGGCTTAAGTGATTCTCTTGCCTCAGCCTCCCAAGTAGATGGGACTACAGGTGCCCACCACAATGCCCAGCTATTTTTTGGTTGTATGTGGCTGGCGCCCTAGCCGCTGAGACACAGGTGCCGAGCCCAAGGTGACTAGTTTAAAGGTTGTGACAGTAGTCTAATCAAGAGACAACACTAGCCTGAAGAAAGCAATGAAACAAAAGACATGGATGTGGGCTCAGTGCCTGTAGCTCAGTGGTTAGGGTGCCAGCCATATACACCGAGGCAAGTGGGTTCAAACCCGGTCCAGGCCTGCTAAACAACAACAACAGCAACAAAAAAGAAAGAAAGACAAGGATGTACTTGGGCAGTGCCTGAGGCTCAGTGGGTAGGGCACTGGCCCCCTAGACGGAGGGTGGCGGGTTCAAACCTGGCCCTGGCCAAACTGCAACAGAAAATAGCCGGGCATTGTGGCTGATGCCTGGAGTCCTAGCTATCTGGGAGGCTGAGGCAAGAGAATCGCCTAAGCCCAGGAGTTGGAGGTTGCTACGAGCTGTGACACCACAGCAACTCTGTTGAGGGTGATAAAGTAAGACTCTGTCTCTAAAAAAAACAAAACAAAACACACATGGATATACTGAAGGGATGCTAATGAGGTGGACATGGTAATTCTTTCTGGATGTGTGGATGAAAGGAGAAATGAGTCAAGGAAGACTCCTAGGAATTAGATTTCAGGTATGGACAAACGGTTGCGCTAACTAAGATAGAGAACACTAAAGAAGGAATAGGTTACTGGGTAAGTACTGCTACATTTAAAGTGGCTATGAAAAAAAGGTAGTCTTAGACATCATTCTGGTTGTAGCTAAAGAGAAAATTCTCTAGAACACAGATATGCCGGAAGTCAAAGGCACGCATAAAAATGCTGTGTGAGAAGTATATGAAAAATGGCTTGGTGCCTGTAGTTCAGTGGCTAGGGTGCCAGCCACATACACCGGAGCTGGCAGGTTCGAATCCAGCCCAGGCCTGCCAAGCAACAATGACAACTACAACCAAAAAAATAGCTGGGTGTTGTGGGGGGCGCCTGTCCCAGCACAGAGAATTAAGAGAATCACTTAAGCCCAAGACCTTGAGGTTGCTGCGAGCTGTGACGCCATGGTATTCTACTCAGGGAGACGCCAGCTAAAAAAAAAAGAAGTATATGAAAAGACCAAAGGTCCAGGACTAAGCCGAGAGCCACACATGGTAGGTATGAGTACATGTCCGTTTCCACCAGTTGCTTCTACATGGAGAATTTAATTAGGCAGCAGAGCTCAGTGATGAATTTATGTTCAGGAGTCAGAACACCTCATGCAAATGGTACCGCTTCTTTAATCTCTTACGTATAAAATTACCTGGAGACAATTTCCTCATCACCAAATAAGAATAACAGTCCTTACTGTACAGGGTTACGGTTGCAGAGACTGAGATAAAACATATAAAGGACTTGTCATGGTACCTATCATTTTAGGTAATAATTCAAGAGATAACATATGCTATTATTATTCCTGGCACTCCTGCTCTGAAGGCTAGAAAGTAACTTTTCTTTCTTTCCAGTGTAAGGATACGTGCTCAGATACCAAATTTAAAAAGTATGTTTCAGTACGTTATGAAAGACAAAATGAATTACAAATGGTTTATTACCAGGTAAATGTCATTCATAATCCTCATAATCACTGATCAGAGGCAAATAACTTCTTTACCTTTGATATGTCCAGGTTTTAAAGAAATGATCTTCAATGTAATGTATATAAGCAAAGCATCCCTTAGCCACAATCTCAGAAGGGTCAATCTACAGATCCAAATATGCTTTAGAAAAACCGTGTGCAGAACTGCATGCAGTCTGCAAACCTGAATCTCAAATTATTTAATTTTTCTATGATAACAGAAATCTTTGTGTTAAAAACAAATAGCTTATCAGAGGAATTCTACTTTGCCAACAGAAAGTATGGTTTTAAATACATCTATTGGTATTTTCTTTCATGTGACGAAACTGTGTAACAGAAAAGAAACCAGAGAGAACCAAAAGGTTTTTGGCAACAAGTTTTGACCTTCTGCTGAATCAGAACTAAGCATAGGCAGGAAGAAACTCCAGGATGCACCTGCTTCATCAATTTAGCAAAAACTGAAACTTAAAAAAAAACACATCTAAAAAATGTGTTTATTAGTGAGTTACCAGAAACAATCCAATTGGAACAATCCAATTTGGAAACTTTTACATCTTTAAAACTTGTTTTAAAATCTTCCAGAAGTTACTGACTGGGACGTCCTAGTTTCAAATCAATTATCTCAAGTAGAAATTCCTTATACGAGTGTTAATTTCAGTTAATTTTCTTATGGAAAAATTCTGCAATAATATTGATGCTATCCTTTAAAAAACCTCTGCAAGAACAGTGTTAATTTTAAAACAAAAGTATTCACTGGGGCTGGGCATGGTGGCTTATGCCTATAGTCCTAGCACTCTGGCAGGCTGATGCAAGTGTATTGCTGAGCTCAGGAGTTCAAAACCAGGTTGAGCAAGAGTGAAACCTCATCTCTAAAAATAGCTGGGCATTGTGGTGAGCTGCCTGAGTGGCTGAGTCAAGAGGATCACTTGAGCTCAGGAGTTTGAGGTTGCTCTGAGCTGTGACGTCATAGCACTTTACTGAGGGCAACAAAGTGAGACTCTGTCTCAAAAAAAGTAATCATTGCTCTGGTTTAATGAAGCTGTTTAGTTATACAATTTAAATTAGTGATAACCAGTAATTAAATATGACACAACATAAAAGGGGGGAAATGTGTTAAGTCAATTCTGCAGGTTCATGTAAAAATTCACATTTCCTAAACAAGGAATTGTATTTGACTCTATATAATAATGACATAATCTACTTGGACTTCAGGAGTAAAATATTTTATTTATGCACATGAGAATTTATTATAATAACGAGTAGACTGCTTTATAGTTAGTCAACTAGAAATCTGTTCTTGCAAAGTCAATTAAAATCACTCAATAAAGCTAGAAAACCAAAACCAAACCAAACAAAAAAACCCCAAACAAACCAAAAACACCCCATGAAACTGAAAACATTCAGTGCTGCCCAAAGTCTGGGTAAATAGGGACCTTCATACTGTTGGCAGAAATATAAACGGGTTGGCAGAAATATAACTTCTTAAAGAGGGACATTTAATAATATTTATTAGAATTTAAACAGTCCCCATCTTTAGATCTACCTTTTCTATGTCTAAGATGGTTACTTACAGAAATGCTCCCACAAATACACAAACAAGTATGTATATTACTTCTCTTATGTGTAAGAGAATA